AAGATTGGGGAGGGGCACAGAAGACCGCAGACAGAGTATAGGCTAGGTGGACAAAGACTACAGACCTCACTCAGGGAGAAAGACCTTGGGGTGACCATAACACCGAGCACATCACCGGAGGCACACATCAACCAAATAACTGCTGCAGCATACGGGCGCCTGGCAAACCTGAGAATAGCGTTCCTATACCTTAATAAGGAATCGTTCAAGACACTGTACACTGTGTATGTTAGGCCCATACTGGAGTATGCAGCACCAGTCTGGAACCCACACCTGGTCAAGCACGTCAAGAAGTTAGAGAAAGTACAAAGGTTTGCAACAAGGCTAGTCCCAGAGCTCAAGGGAATGTCGTACGAGGAAAGGTTAAGGGAAATCGGACTGACGACACTGAAGGACAGAAGGGTCAGGGGAGACATGATAATGACATACAAGATACTGCGGGGAATAGACAAGGTGGACAGAGATAGGATGTTCCAGAGAGGGGACACAGGGACAAGGGGTCACAACTGGAAGCTGAAGACTCAGACGAGTCACAGGGACGTTAGGAAGCATTTCTTCAGTCAGAGTTGTCAGGAAGTGGAATAGCCTAGCAAGTGAAGTAGTGGAGGCAGGAACCATACATAGTTTTAAGAAGAGGTATGATACAGCTCAGGAAGCAGAGAGAGAGAGGACCTCGTAGCGATCAGTGAAGAGGCGGGGCCAGGAGCCGAGTCTCGACCCCTGCAACCACAATTAGGCGAGTACAATTAGGCGAGTACACACGCATGCACACACACGCATGCACACACATACATGCACACACACGCATGCACACACACACAAGCTCACAAACACACACACGAACACACACACACGAACACACACACACATGAACACACACACATGAACACACACACATGAACACACACACATGAACACACACACATGAACACACATGAACACACATGAACACACATGAACACACATGAACACACACACATGAACACACACACATGAACACACACACATGAACACACACACATGAACACACACACATGAACACACACACATAAACACACACACAAACACACACACATAAACACACACACATAAACACACACACATAAACACACACACATAAACACACACACAGCAAGAAAACTGCATAATTTAAAATATTACCTTAGACTCGGCCCTCAGGAAATGCAGGATGGCAGCACCCTTGGCATGGAATGAATACTTCATATTCTCGTGTTTTTTGCTCTCCAGGTGCCGCAAATACGACTGCAAGCAATGTAACACTATTAGCAATTTACATCTGCAAAACAACATTTTACCAGACTAATTTCACAGCATGAACACAGGTTAGGGATTTACATATTTCGACTGAGTTCAGGGTCAATCTGTTGTTCAAAGAGGTTCTCTGACTGAAGACAAAATATACAGATCTCTCTTACTTGCATTTCATAGTTGTCCAATAATGTGTTTTTACAACAAAGTAACAGCAAATATAGAATCAACAAGTATCATTATAATATAAATATGATAAACACAGTACTCAGAAAACAAAATAATGTACAACACTAAAAATGTAACTAATATGACTGAAACATTACAATATATTATTTAGGAAGAACACACCAGTATCTTCATAGCTGAGTTACTATCATTATTTCTTAATTATTTCTTACCTTGACACTAATCCTGGAGAGATTGCACATGTGACAATGGAGGGCCTCCTTCGGCAGCCAAGTAATTTCATCCGACTGCCAAAACACATTGTAGTTAGTTTTGCAAACTACTTTATTTGCATATACTATACAACAAAAAAATCAGATATGCAAAGCAAGGTATATTCACTACCAAGTATCCAGAAAGTAATATACTAAAAAAATCATAATAGTAGTATTAACCCTGCACACTTAATTTTCGTTTTTTAAACAAACTGGCCGTCTCCCACCAAAGTAGGGCGACCAAAAAAAAAAAAAAACTTTCACCACCACTCATTACAGAAGATTAAACTAATGAAGGCTGCAATACAGCTCAAATTATACTAAAAGAAAATGTGAAGTATGTATCACCCCATAGTGACAAAAATAAACAGGATTAAATGAGGTATCACCCGGGTTATTCAAAGAATGTGAAAAATAGTCAAGCTCTACACTGACAAGTTCTTTGAATCATTGTGAAGGCAGTAAATTGGTAAATATGATTCTGATATTGAACACGATCATAGGGAACAACTTTTGATCTGTAGACTAGTTTCACTGACATTTTTTCACAAAAAGTTGAAGACTGCTGGGTGGGAACTAAGAGAATGGATGTGCTACAACTAATGTAAACTAATTTTAGACAAATGCTGAACATGAGACACGAGTACAGATTTCCCTTAACTACAAAAATGTAATCACATATAGGTAATCGCCTACGCTTGCCATATCTAGGACAAAAGAATTTGAGGCCTTTGGTACAGATCTAAATGACGTAAGCACTGTCAACACTTACAAAGAAAAGTCATGTGTTCCAGAACTAGCTTTCACTGAGACTATGTATCACTCTCTGTAAAACTTTATCAAATCTTATAACTCAAAGCTCTACACTAGAGGAAAACACACAATAAAAGTTTGCTCTGCAAATGTGATTTCTTCACTAGGGACAGAGTCAACCGAGACAAAACATAATAGACATACATTCACTCACTCTGGACTCACCTGCTTTTCCTTATCTTTCCTCTCCTCTGTGTCATCATCATCTTCACTCTCTATATCCTCAGCAGTGCCTTCCTCTACCTTTACAGTCTTCTCTGTCTCACTGTCAATGACAACGGGTCTCATGAGTGTACTTGAAAGTAATAATACTTGGTTTTCTCATATTCACTTTGTTGAAGTGGACTAATATCCAATCTCCATCAACATAATGTACATATAATTAGGGTTTTAATCTAGCAAAGTCCCTCCAAGGTTCAACAATGGATTAATGAATCCTACATGTAAAAAATGGTAGTGATACCGATGTGGAGAAAACACTCACGTACAGTTCAGGACATTTATTAAGGCTGAAGAAACCACTAATGGCAAAACAAGTCCTGAGCAATACACAAGTGTCCTTTTCTAATCCTACAAGATTTCAATGTATACAACAATTTATTTACTGCTATAATTAAACTTTACTCTTCTCTGCATGCTACATTAATGAACACACAGCCTGGAAGACTAATATGCTCAGTAAGCATTAACAAGTCTTCATTCAAAAATCTAAATTTTCATTCTTTATCACTCTCTAATCAAGCTTTGAATTATTTTCCATTGGTGGGAAAATTGAAATTTACTGTCGCTTTATGCACCAGTTAAATCTGTCACTGACCAGAACTTAAAAAACTTACAATAAAGGTACAACACCACTGTATCTCTAACAAAGTTAACAAGACCATACTAAGAGTGCAGTATTACAGAGCTCTGAAATAACCATGAGTCCTTAGACATGTACTGTTATTGAAAATAAGTACCATTAACGCAACACTAGTGTTTTTTTTTTTTTTTAACACATCCCAACGAGGCAAGGTGACCCAAAAAGAAGAAAAAACTTTCATCGTTCAACACTTTCACCATCATTCTTACATAATCATCATCTTTGCTGAGGTACTTAGATACGACAGTTTAGTAATCTTAATCACTTAATACTGTACATGAATTTGGAAAGTAGTAACAGTGCTTTAGAAAATGCTGGGATATTTGGAACAATAAAAGAATGAAAATATTAATTATTCAATTAGAAAAAAGTGAGATTTTAAATCAACACAAGCATCTGAAAAACAAGATTCTGCAAAGCTAAATTTTCTGAATAACTTAGCTCAGTTTCTTGGAAAACAAGAGGAAAACACACTACCGTAACAACTCTCAAAACCATCACAATCGAGCAAATTACAACATAATAAACAATACAATCTCTCTCAAAAATCAATTTTACCAATTTATTTAACCACTCAAATAATGTACATTCATCTATTCCCATGTTCCCATGAGGGAAAACTAAGAAAATTCCACAAAATGTTTAACAATATTGATGTAAATGGTTTAGAAAACCGACAAGTTGAAGAGTGAGACACTTGTCACATTTGGCAAATGTTGTACAAGTGTCTCATTCTTCAACTGAGTAGTGTTGGGTCACCCTGCATTGGCAAGAACAGTTGTGTTATAACAAGATCACTTTATAGTGTAAAGTAGTGGAAGCTGTGCTATGGTTAGCATAAGTATACATATAGTCACAAACGTTTTGTAGGTGGCAGCAGTGCCAGTGTCACTATTACATACATGGTAGTAGTGTGCATAATCAACAAGTTATTCCATATCTATTGGACAAAATTTAGATCAGAAAGTATTGCCCTGACTCTACAATTTCATACCCTGAACTCCTACATACTCTCCTGCTAAGGGAGCCAACCGCATGTATTCCTTCCCTGGCCCCTAAAATGCCTCAAGCATTAAAAAATTCTACAAGAACACCTAAAACTTCTTTCACAGACTACATAAACTAAATGATTTGGCTAGATAGTACAGTTAAAGTGAACTAGTCGCCACTCACTAGCAGCTTAAATAAACAATGAGAAAAAGATAAATTTTTTATGATCATACAGACGGCCGAAACCAATTGGCTTGTGCATAGAATTCCATTAACCTTGTACACAGTCATACCTCAATTTAGGATGTATTATAACCTAATTACGACATGTAAAAATATCAAGACATTCATGTCTAATATATCACTAAGAATCAGCACTATAATGAAGTACTATACGTATATCCTTATCATAGAATTAACATGAAATATGTAAATACATCACCTGATGGAAAACTACAAGGAAGTTCCAGCAGCACACCACTTTTTTTTAACTGGGAATTGCCTGAAAGATAAAATCCCAGCCCTTTTCCCCACACCCACAGAGAGGCAAGTCTCTGTCACGGAAGTTCCGTGAGGCACAGGTGTAACAGAGGTAAATGTAGGCAGCTTACCTCTGGCTGGCATCAGCTGCATCCTCTGCATCAGCAGTGTCCCCCTCTGGGTCATCAGATGATTTTCCCTCATCCTTCACCTTCTGGTCCTTGGCAGGGCCCTTACTATTCCTGGTATCATGCCAGGGCTTACCACGCCGGGCCCTTGCCACTTTCCGGGATTGGTACTCATTCCCAGCATGCTGTTCAGCGGGGAAGTAGGGGCGGCCACCTCGGCCACGGGGTACCCAGGTCCGCCGAGGGCTGTAGCGACGGACACGCGAGGGATACCTGCGCGCAGGTGGTGGATGCATTCCATCCTGTGGAAGACACTCACCACTCAGTTACCCCTCGGCAAATTGTTTGCTTTAGGCAGAGCTCCAAGGGATGGAATCCCATCTTAGCACGAGGCAGTATCTGACCTCGGCAGACCAACTTGGGTAATTTCTGGGTGGGCCTAGGACCAGCAGTAAAGGTATATAATGTGGGACAATCACCACAGCACCAGCTTACCCTAAAACTTTCGGGCAAGAGAAGATCACTAATACTGTAAAGCACTTCAATATTGTAACACAGGGATGCCAATAATTATTAATCTGCAAGATCATCCCCAACTTGAAGCTTGAGATATTGACCTAGTAATTTGGTGGAAACTTTTCAATTGTAAATATCAAAATCTTCTCCATGTGGAGCAGATATAGTGCTTTCATCCATATGTCAAATGGTGCTGATGATAATGTCATCTTGAGAGGAAGGTTAAAATAACCTACCACTATGTAGCATGTTATACCACCGTGATTCATCTGAACATAAACAAGAATATATTAATTTAATTTGTGAAATGTACAAGTGGTCAATAAAAGGCAACCGTTGCCAGTGATTAACTGGCATGCCATTAAGCACCTGCTTACAGCATCTCACCTGTGTGTACCCTGAGCCACACACTTCATTACTGGCAGACTTAAGTCAAGAGACCAGCACCTGGCAATCATCACATCTTTATATAATAGTGCACCTGTATAAGAAAAGCTCACAAGGTGGTGTTAAGTGCTTTTTGAAGTTAAATGTTTTACTGAAGACAGTTCTAGTACCCAAGTACAGTACTCAGATCACCTGCTCAACACAGACTGCAGAAAAAGTTTCATGGTTCTTTTATCATAAAATAATTATGATTCTTATTACAATTAGTGAACTATTTTCTCTGCTTCAGGAGTCTGTTGTCACATGATCAGGAACTTGCATGCAATGTATCATGCTTGGGTGTGTACCTCGCTTCTTTTAAATAGAGGACTCACAATGCATCACCAGGTAAAGCTGTGTTTGTGTGTTAGGTTACGAGTAAATTTCGTAATCCCATAATGACTTTCCCCATTGTAAAAATAGTTACACAAAGAATTTTCCAGTCAGAATTTTTTTAATCATGCAAAAATCTTCCCTCCAAGGATTAATATGCACATGTTTTCCTTTCCCTCAGCTGCATTATGCCCACTGCTTATACATACTACAGTATCAACACAAATCTCTTGATACCAACTGATGATGCAGAGGATGATGGCAGTGCAAACTATTAAAATTATTTGCCTACCATCCACAATCAAATATTCTCATCCAAGTCCTATCCCCCTTCCCTCTGCTTGCATACTACTAACATTCATAAAAGCCTAACACCATTCAAAGAAATTAAGTTTTACCATTGTCTACATTCAAAATGAATCTTTAGTGAACTCTTCCAGCACAAGACTTACATAGTGTATCTTCAAAAAGTAACTACTGAACAAGAAAGCCAAAAAAAAAAAAAATGACTTGTCTTATGCCACAGTCAACTCTTGGTTTTCGCGGTATCAATTACTCTAACTTAAGAACATCTGCTAGGCATTTCACATCTGAATATTTTCCGTAGTTGTATCATTGGTGTTATTCGTTAAACTGCCAATCAAGAAGCTAATGAACACATTTCATCACACGCACTTTGAACAAATTTTAAATTGCTTAAATATGTACTATACTGCATTGAATTTTTTCCGGTTTTTAAAAGAACATATGCAAAAAATACTATGAAGCACACTAATATGTTGACATTTACTACAGTACAAGGCTCATTATGAATAATGAGTGTTTAATCCACTATTCTGGGTTTACAGAAGTACAGAATACGTATGTTAGGAGACACAGTAGGACTACAGAGGAAGAAGGATGATTTAGGAAACAGTGGATGAGTAGACCAAGCAATTTACCTTTCAAACATCTGACCGAATAACCAAATAATACTTAGATTAAGTTAAGGAACTGTGTCACATTTATGGACTCAGAAAAGCCATTGACAGGGTAGATATGGCAGAAGTGGCAGATGAAATGTAGGAATAAGTAGTATATTACTAAAAGTACATAGTTAAGAGGTTTTAATGCAAAGTGAGGCTCTGGTTAGAATATGTAAAATTATTTAATAAATTGTTGTATTCTGAGCACCTCTGCAAAAACAGTGATTATGTGTGAGTGAGGTGAAAGTGTTGAATGATGATGAAAGTATTTTCTTTTTGGGAATTTTTTCTTTTTTGGGTCACCCTGCCTCGGTGGGAGATGGCCAACTTGATAAAAAAAAAAAAAGAAGAAAATTTATAGATGGGATTGTGTAAAAGAAATGAATGTCATGGTGTTGTGGAGAGGTGTGGGAATGATGAACAATGATTGCAATACAAAGTGGGAATTGTTACAGTTGGTCTTTGCTGACGAGACAGTTCATTTGGCAAATTCTGAAGATAAGGTGCACAGGTAGGTAGGGAAATTCGAGTGTGTGAAAAAAGAAATAAAAAGTAAACAGAAAACAGCAAAACAAGTAACAAAATGTTTGAGCAATGAAAGAATGGATATCAGAATGCAAGGAGGGAGTGGGGATAAAGTTAATGTATTTAGATATGTCTATAAAAGATGTGAACCACAGATGGTTAAAAAAGCAATTATGATAAAGCACCTGTGGAAAGAAGTACGTATATTTGAGCAAAAAAGGTGGGGGGAGGGGTAAGGTATCAGAGTACATCAGTACCAACACTTATGGGTGTGTGCAAGGAAAACATCAACATAGAATTACTTGCTCCAAATATTCACGTCCTTTCACTTTCATGGATGAGGAAAGGAAAGATAAATTATTTTAAAAGCAATACCTTTATTAAAAACAAAACCTGTAATAAATTATAGATCTACACCGAAGAAAAATATAAAAGGAAAAGCTTGTACGCTATATACAAGCCTAGATGCTATAACAGCACATACAAAGATTACATAGCATTACAGTGATGTAATGATGGTCCTCTAGACAGTAATAATGTCTGGACTTCTAGAAAGGTGGTATCGCAAGTGAGGCAGGAGAAATCTCCAGCTTTGAGTACATTTCCTAAAATCTTTAGAAGTTCTGAAAAGTAAAGTGGATCATTACCTCTGCCAAGTACCAGATCAATTAGGCTGTGATGACTACATGGGCTAATGGGTTGCCAACAGCAACAGCCTGGTTTAATAGGTAATGAGCAGTAAAGTCGTGCTTCAAGCCAAGCAATGAGGGAAGAAAAAAATTCTCATATAATAGGCAGATCTGACAGACTCTGGTACACACAGGTTGTCAATAGTACCAATGATGATTAATTTATTTATTTATTAACACATCAGCCATTTCCCACCAAGATAGGGTGGCCCAGAAAAGAAAAACTTTCATCATCATTCACTCCATCACTGTCTTGCCAGTCGCACTTGCATTACAGTTATAAAACTGCAACATTAACACCCCTCCCTCAAAGTACAGGCACTGTACTTCCCATCTCTAGGACTTGAGTCTGGCCTGCCAGTTTCCCTGAATCCCTTCATAAACATTACCCTGCTCACATTCCAAGAGCACATCAAGTCCTAGAAACCATTCGTCTCCATTCGCTCCTAATTAACACCCTCACACATGCTTGCTGGAAATCCAAGCCCCTCAAACACAAAGCCTCCTTACCCCCTCCCTCCAACCTTTCCTAGGACGACCTCTACCCCGCCTTCCTTCCACTACAGATTTATACACTCTCGAAGACATTCTATTTTCTTCCAGCCCCTCTACATGTCCAAACCACCTCAACAACCCCTCCTCGGCCCTCTGGATAATAATTTTGGTAATGCTGCACCTCCTCCTAATTTCCAAACTACGAATTCTCTGCATTATATTCACACCACACATTGCCCTCAGACACGACATCTCCACTGCCTCCAGCCTTCTTGTTGCAACATTCACCACCCATGCTTCATACTCGTATAAGAGCATTAGTATAACTATACTCTCATACATTCCCCTCTTTGCTTTCATGGACAATGTTCTTTGTCTCCACAGACTCCTCAATGCACCACTCACCTTTTTTCCCCTTGTCAATTCTATGATTCACCTCATCTTTCATAGACCCATCTGCTGACACGTCCACTCCTAAATATCTGATTATTAAATATCTGATTATTATTAAATATCTGATTATTAAATATCTTATTTTTTTATAATTATTATAATCATAACTAAGTGCTAAACCACAAGGGTCACACAGAACCACTGATGATGATTGTACTTAGTCCATGGAGACTCCATTAAAGATGGTACATAGGCCCAATAGACCTATGTAGATAGCATATGTCAACACTGGTCAATACAGGAACTAGGTGATGGACCACTCTCCTGTAGCATGAACTACAATGTTAGCCCATTCATAAACCCTTATAGTTATATCAATAGAATGACAAAGAGGGCATATAAATCAAGGGTGGAAAGAAAGATGGGTTGTTCCAGGAAGGCTTAGAGGTAAGGGATGAAGGTAGTTTTAAGTGGTAGTCACTAAAGCATCCAGGTGGAATGTGAGCGGAATAAAAGGAGAAAAGTGGTTTATGGAGTTTGATGGGGTGTTATGCATGAGCAAATTAGAATTTATGAAAGAATTCAGAGAGGTGGGAAGTACAGTGCCTGCACTCAGAAGGAAGGGTGGGGATGTCGCAGTTCAGAGGATCATTTTAATTATGTTCAAACACTTCTGGCAAGACAGCTATTAAAAGAATGATGTTTCTTTCTGTGGGTCACTCTACCTTGGTGAGACAGAGCCAATCTGTTAAAAAAAAAAAAAAAAAAAAATCCAAGGTAGGAGGAGCCCTGCTCAACGTCCAGAAAGCATCTAAAGCAACTTGCCACTAAAGCAGATATATGAGAAAAATTTCAGTCATAGTTACCGTATTACTCTATAGATTATAAACACACACTACTACTCAAGTCTTCATAAACTTTAAGTTACAAAAACCTCACAGAAGGGTTAGGAATCCCACATTTTGAAATAAACATTTCTACGCAGGTGTTCACATACATACCCACTCCGTACGCCTTATCTTCCTGGGTGGTCCATTGTCCCAACCATCATGACTCTCGCCCACTGATGAATCCTGAAGTGGTAGACATTAATACATTACTGAAAACAACCAACTACTACCTTTTTTTTTTTTTTCAACAAGTCAGCCGTCTCCCACCGAGGCAGGGTGACCCAAAAAAGAAAGAAAATCCCCAAAAAGAAAATACTTTCATCATCATTCAACACTTTCACCACACTCACACATTATCACTGTTTTTGCAGAGGTGCTCAGAATACAACAGTTTAGAAGCATACACATATAAAGATACACAACATATCCCTCCAAAATGCCAATATCCCAAACCCCTCCTTTAAAGTGCAGGCATTGTACTTCCCATTTCCAGGACTCAAGTCCGACTATATGAAAATAACTGCTTTCCCTGAATCCCTTCACTAAATATTACCCTGCTCACACTCCAACAGATCGTCAGGTCCCAAGTACCATTCGTCTCCATTCACTCCTATCTAACACGCTCACGCACGCTTTCTGGAAGTCCAAGCCCCTTGCCCACAAAACCTCCTTTACCCCCTCTCTCCAACCCTTTCGAGGACGACCCCTACCCCGCCTTCCTTCCCCTATAGATTTATATGCTTTCCATGTCATTCTACTTTGATCCATTCTCTCTAAATGACCAAACCACCTCAACAACCCCTCTTCTGCCCTCTGACTAATACTTTTATTAACTCCACACCTTTTCCTAATTTCCACACTCCGAATTTTCTGCATAATATTTACACCACACATTGCCCTTAAACAGGACATCTCCACTGCCTCCAACCGTCTCCTCGCTGCTGCATTTACCACCCAAGCTTCACACCCATATAAGAGTGTTGGTACTACTATACTTTCATACATTCCCTTCTTTGCCTCCATAGAAAACGTTTTTTGACTACACATATACCTCAACGCACCACTCACCTTTTTTCCCTCATCAATTCTATGATTAACCTCATCCTTCATAAATCCATCCGCTGACATGTCAACTCCCAAGTATCTGAAAACATTCACTACTACCTACAGCATCTAAAAATTGAAGAGAGGTGTGGTTATATTTAATTTTCAGTAGGAAAATCAGTCAACAAATAACATTATAAATTATCACATGAAGTTTCAGGTCGTCTGTTTAATGACTATTTACATCTCCCTGTACATATAAAGCCCAACTGTCTTTATATTAACTTTAGTGTTGAGAAAATATATCTGACTTCAACTCTGGCTGATGCAGTATGAACAAAGCAATATAATAATGCACCCAATGCTCATAGTAAATATAGCTTTTGCCTCCCCAGATTTATATATCCTCTTACCTACCTATCCAGAGTCTACCTGGAGGTCATTCTGAGGGTTAACACCCCAGCACCCCAATCCTTGTTGCCTTATTCTGTTCCGTTCTCTCTAAATGCTCAAACCACCTCAACACCCCTCATCAGCCCTCTGGATTATACTTCTGATAATCCCCACACTGTCTTCTAATCTTGATGCTCTGAATTCTTCTCAGAATTCCACATTTATTATGTGATGGTGCTGCTAGGTGATCTATTGGCAGCAGCCAGCCACCAGGTGTTGTCTCAAGAAGCCACCTACCCACCACCACCATCACTACCTGCAGAACTTGTGTTTTCTTCTATGAGAAGCCTACTCCATCTACACCTCAGCTTCTCTTGGTTATATTTTATTTAAATATTAAATATGTTTAATTTTACATTCTCTTTATCTCATTTTAATTATACTGTACAGTATTTCTTTTATTATTTTTCCATCCTAATAATTTTCCTAACAGGTAACCGACCAGTTTCCCTGACATTTTGCAATATTAGTTGCGTTTACAAGATTACTCACCATTTTGGTAAGTGAATGGCAACAAATATGAGAGTAAGTCAACTATAAGTCTCAAATTTAAATTATTTTTGAAAATGAATAAAACAAACCAGTTCTATTATTGCCCAGCATTAAATGCATTGCCATTTTAGAGAGATCAGCATTATACAGTGTGTTCAAAATTATGAATCTTGTAGCCACTGTCTACTGGCATTACCCCATTTCTCAGTACTTTGAGTAATTTCTCTACCCCACCCATCCTATCTAGTGAGGGGGTTTACCTGGAGAGGGTTTCAGGGGTCAATGCCCCCGCAGCCTGGTGTGAGACCAGGCCTCATGGCCTCAATGTCCTACAATATTTTGGGTATTTACACAAAATGACCAGTTACTATAGCATGAATACAGTCTTAGGATTAAAAAATAAAATCTCTTCTAGCTATCTAAAACATTAATTATATTAATTATATTAACTATATTTAATAATATTTTTATATAGCCGGACTTGAGTCCTGGAAATGGGAAGTACAATGCCTGCACTCTAAAGGAGGGGTTTCGGGATAATGGCAGTTTGGAGGGATATGTTGTGTATCTTTATACGTATATGCTTCTAAACTGTTGTATTCTGAGCACCTCTGCAAAAACAGTGATTATGTGTGGGTGAGGTGAAAGTGTTAAATGATGATGAAAGTATTTTCTTTTTGGGGATTTTCTTTCTTTTTGGGTCACCCTGCCTCGGTGGGAGACGGCCAACTTGTTGAAAAAAAAAAAATGAATCAAAAGCAAAGTAAGCAAGAAATACTTATCAGATCAGAAAATAATAACAGCCTGAGCAAAGAAACAGGCTCAAGATGTTATTTTCTTATTAATTGATGTACTCATAGTACGTGTACATCAATTAATAAGGTTATATATTTAACTTCTGAAAAAAATACAAAATGTAAAAAGAAAAAGTCAGTTTCTTCTTTTTTGGGTCACCCTACCTTGATGGTAGATGGCAGGTGTTAAAAATGTATATATAATGTGTTTGCTTTTGGGAAAATCTCTGCACTCTCAAATTACACTTTTGCAACTTTTTGGGGTTAAAAGGGCTGCACAAATTTCAGCATTACTTCAGTGAATAGGTTAGAAAGTTAAAAAATGGAAAAAAGGCTTGCTGATTTAGATAGCCAACTTACTGTAGACAAAACAGCATTTAAGATATTCATGGCCAGCTTTGATCGATCGCTTCCCATTTGACTGAGTCGACTGAGGGAACCAATCAGATCTGACGTGCCTCCTCCAACCATCCCACCAGATGCTCCAGTATTGGACATGCGAGATGAGTAACCACCGCCACCACCGCCACCACCTGATGTGTGTCTGTACCCAACGTCATCCCATACTTCCATTTGTGCACTTGATCTCCGGAAATCTCCATATCTGAAAATTTAAGAAACATACCTAGATAATATATTTTTCAACAAAGTATAAAAAAAAAGGACATTCACTATAACATGCACAAAGACAACTTAATTCTACTCCAATCTCAAACATTAACCTGGCAAACCAAAACTAGACTAAGTTTATTTAGGTATAGGTAAACAAGTACAACTATCCTACATAGTTTAACACGTGTAATTACCTAGGATAACCCCCCCCTCCCCCCCCCCAAAAAAAGTGACATTTCCATTGGCATGGTAATATAATTTAAATTACTGAATGCTTAAAAAATATGTACAGCATGATCTATGGATAATAAATAGCAAAAGGAAGACAAGAAAAATAGGTTTTTAACATAAGATCAGTTGATCATACAGGAATGGCATGTAGTATCTACGAAGAAAGCTAAACCAGCTTCAAAAATGTGACAATCCAGATACACTTGCCTGTCATGGCCCCCAGACTCTCGGTAGCCTCCAGAAGCCCCATGTCCTCCACCTCCACGATATCTCCCACTGTTGTAGTTGCTACCACCATGGTTGTAATCCCTCCCACCACCTCCACTAGTGCTGCTACCTCTGCTGCTTCCCCAGCTATAGTTGCCACGCCCTCGGCCTCTTCCTCTAAAAATTAAACAGGTCAGAATTAAATTTGATTTAAACTACAGAAAGTAAGTTACTATACAACACAGGTCATAAGTACTGTACTAAAACTGTCATTCATATATCGCACAGCATTTGAAATGAAATGCCAGAAAACCAAATATTAATAAAAACTTAGAAGTCTACCTGTAACGATTGCTGTTACCACCACCACCGACTCTTGAGTCGTACTCCCCTTTGTCATAATATCCTGGCATCCTGAAAAAATGACAAAAGTAAAATTAAGACATAGGTACTATGCATGCAAGTATTTTTATTATAACTATATATACAAGGGAAAGTGCTAAACTCACAGGGGTCATACAGGGCCTGGTATATGAGGAGATTTTGAATGGATGAGAGACAGTATACATGGATGGTATTAATTAGCATCCTAAATCAATATTTTAACCTATTTTGATAAGGGAAGGGTTTACAGCACACTATTATAATAACCATGGCAAGTGCTCATTCTGTAGGGATTATACAACACCTGGGAAATAGAAAGTAATCAGGCTTGGTCTAAGAAAAGGAAGGGGTAACTCCAATTCCTTACATCAAGAGGACATTCTTTAACAGCATCAAAGTAGCCCTTACCCTCCCTTTCCTCCTCAATAATATTAAATTTATTTCTTTTCTGCAGTATACAATTAATGTAGTTTACATGTAAAAGCCATCAGATGTGTTGCATTTCAGGCAGATCATGCAGTATAGCAATGAAACACTATTGTTAGTAGGGTCTCATGTCTTGATAAAAATAAAATTAAGAATATACAGCATTGTTACTGTAGTGAGGTTTGGAGATTGGAGTATACCTGGGGAGGGTTTCTGGTGTCAACGCCCCCGTGGCCCAGTCTGTGAACAGGCCTCATGGTGGATCAGGGCCTGATCAACCAGGATGCTGCTGTTGGCTGCACGCAACCCGATGTACAACACAGCCTGGCTGGTCAGGTACATACTACTAACTTTAGGTGCCTGTCCAGTGCCTTCTCGAAGACAGCCAGGAGTCTATTGGTAATCCCTCTTATGTATGCTGGAAGGCAGTTGAACAGTCTTGGGGCCCCTGACACTTATTGTGTTGTCTCTTATCATGCTAGTGGCGTCCCTGCTTTTCATTGCGGGGATGTTGCATCGTCTGCAGTGTCTTTTGCTTTCATTGGGAGTGATTTTCGTGTGCAAATTTGGTACTAATCCCTCTAGGATTTTCCAAGTGTATATAATCATATATCTCTCCCGCCTGTGTTCTAGGGAGTTCAGGTTGAGGAACTTCAAACATTCCTAGTAATTTAGGTGTTTTATCGCAGTTGTGTGTGCAGTGAAGGTGCTCTGTACATTTTCTAGGTCAGCAATTTCACCTGCCCTGAAAAGTGCTGTTAGTGTGCAGCAATATTCCAGCCTAGATAGAACAAGCGACCTGAAGAGTGTCATCATGGGCTTGGCATCCCTAGTTTTGAAGGTTCTCATTATCCATCCTGTCATTTTTCTAAATTCTAGTAAAATATAATAAGTGTAATAACATAATTGAAAAATGGCAGCACTAAGAACATAATGGAGAAAGGTTTTAAATGAAAAATACTCCTCAGCACAAAATCAAACATTTTAAATTATGCAAAATATGTAAGCCATCTACACCACAAAAGTAATTACTTCTTGGGCAAGCTTGTTATTTTGGGAATATTTAGCAAGAAAATATTTTTCTTTTTTTGGCACATGTGGCACATCATAGCCAAACACTGACTAGTGCTGTGACCTGGCATGTATTGTGACCTGGCATGTATTGTGACCTGGCATGTATTGTGACCTGGCATGTATTGTGACCTGGCATGTATTGTGACCTGGCATGTATTGCAGCCTGGCCAATCAGACCTTAGGATCGTGGCCTGACCAATCACACTGAACATAAAGACTGGTCATGAATAAAGACCAATGGCAGCGAGATTGTTGTTAAAATATTTTAGGTCGATCTGGGTGGGTTTATCTAAGCTTTGTCAAGTATCCAACCATCCGCACAACATAATAAATTTTATCTCCAAAATCTATCCAGGTCTACTAATTGGTGGGTCCTCAGGTCACAAACTGAGGGACCAGGACTGAACCCTGGCATGGGTTAAATATTGAGCATGTTTTCTTACACCTGTTATCCCTGTTCACCTAGCAGTAAGTAGGTACCTGGGTGTTAGCCACCTTACACCTGTTATCCCTGTTCACCTAGCAGTAAGTAGGTACCTGGGGGTGTTAGTTAACTGGTGTAGGTCGCATCCTGGGGACAAAATTAACCTAAGTTGCGGGAAATGCTCTGCATAAAAAAACTTTATATATATTATGTCAATGATGTCAGCTATGGTCTGTATAAGTTGCATTATGTACCTGTAGAAATAAAGATCATTATCATTATTAGCCTCCATGAAGGCCATCCCCCGCCAGACTAAAACACTCAACTAACCTGTAATATAGCTTATATAACTGTTATATATCCCTCAGGTAGAAGCAGGTAGATAGGTAGATGATCCAGGTAGACACAGAGTGAGAGTAGATAAGAAGAAAAGCGAGTATGAGGTTAATATAAGTGATGGCAGCAGTAGTGGTAGAGGCGGCAGCCGGCAGCACCAACAATGTCTGCTGCTCCTCCTATTTTTCTTCTTTTTTGTTGTTATTTAGCGGTTGAAGGAGGTGGTTGTCTGCACTGATGTTGTGTGTTGAGGGTCACCTGGTTGACCAGCACCTGTGGTGGTCTGGGTGGCTGGCAGACACCTACAGCAAGTGTGGTAGTTAAGTCAGGGTCACACCATCAAGGACAACAACGGAGCTTCAGTCTGCCACCAGCAGCAGCAGCAGAGGCGCACCTCGTGCGCACTCTTGTACCTCGTGTGTTGTACCTCGTGTTGTACCTCGTGTGTTGTACCTCGTGTGTTGTACCTCGTGTGTTGTACCTCGTGTGTTGTACCTTGTGTGTTGTACCTTGTGTGTTGTACCTCGTGTTGTACCTCGCGTGTGTGTACCTCGGTGTGTTGTACCTTGTGTGTTGTACCTTGTGTGTTGTACCTCGTGTTGTACCTCGCGTGTTGTACCTCGTGTGTTGTACCTTGTGTGTTGTACCTCGTGTGTTGTACCTCGTGTTGTACCTCGCGTGTTGTACCTCGTGTGTTGTACCTTGTGTGTTGTACCTCGTGTGTTGTACCTCGTGTGTTGTACCTCGTGTGTTGTGCTTCGTGTGTTGTACCTCGTGTGTTGTACCTCGTGTGTTGTACCTCGTGTGTTGTACCTCGTGTGTTGTACCTCGTGTGTTGTACCTCGTGTTGTACCTCGCGTGTTGTACCTCGCGTGTTGTACCTTGTGTGTTGTACCTCGTGTGTTGTACCTCGTGTGTTGTACCTTGTGTGTTGTACCTCGTGTGTTGTACCTCGTGTGTTGTACCTTGTGTGTTGTACCTTGTGTGTTGTACCTCGTGTGTTGTACCTCGTGTGTTGTACCTCGTGTTGTACCTCTTTGGTTTGTACCTCGTGTGTTGTACCTCGTGTGTTGTACCTTGTGTGTTGTACCTTGTGTGTTGTACCTCGTGTGTTGTACCTCGTGTGTTGTACCTCGTGTGTTGTACCTCGTGTGTTGTACCTCGTGTGTTGTACCTCGTGTGTTGTACCTCGTGTTGTACCTCGTGTGTTGTACCTCGTGTGTTGTACCTCGTGTGTTGTACCTCGTGTGTTGTACCTCGTGTGTTGTACCTTGTGTGTTGTACCTTGTGTGTTGTACCTCGTGTGTTGTACCTCGTGTGTTGTACCTCGTGTGTTTTACCTTTTTTGTTGTACCTTGTGTGTTGTACCTTGTGTGTTGTACCTCGTGTGTTGTACCTTGTGTGTTGTACCTTGTGTGTTGTACCTCGTGTGTTGTACCTCGTGTGTTGTACCTTGTGTATTGTACCTCGTGTGTTGTACCTTGTGTGTTGTACCTTGTGTGTTGTACCTCGTGTGTTGTACCTTGTGTGTTGTACCTCGTGTGTTGTACCTCGTGCGCACTCTTGTACCTCGTGTGTTGTACCTCGTGTGTTGTACCTCGTGTGTTGTACCTTGTGTGTTGTACCTCGTGTGTTGTACCTTGTGTGTTGTACCTCGTGCGCACTCTTGTACCTCGTGTGTTGTACCTTGTGTGTTGTACCTCGTGTGTTGTACCTCGTGCGCACTCTTGTACCTCGTGTGTTGTACCTCGTGTGTTGTACCTCGTGTGTTGTACCTCGTGTGTTGTACCTCGTGCGTTGTACCTCGTGTGTTGTACCTCGTATGTTGTACCTCGTGTGTTGTACCTCGTGTGTTGTACCTCGTGTGTTGTACCTTGTGTGTTGTACCTCGTGTGTTGTACCTCGTGTGTTGTACCTCGTGTGTTGTACCTCGTGTGTTGTACCTCGTGTGTTGTACCTCGTGTGTTGTACCTTGTTTTGTTGTACTCGTGTTGTACCTCGTGCGCACTCTTGTACCTCGTGTGTTGTACCTCGTGTGTTGTACCTCGTGTGTTGTACCTCGTGCGTTGTACCTCGTGTGTTGTACCTCGTATGTTGTACCTCGTGTGTTGTACCTCGTGTGTTGTACCTCGTGTGTTGTACCTCGTGTGTTGTACCTTGTGTGTTTGAACCTCGTGTGTTGTACCTCGTGTGTTGTACCTCGTGTGTTGTACCTTGTGTGTTTGTACATCGTGTGTTGTACCTCGTGTGTTGTACCTTGTGTGTTGTACCTCGTGTGTTGTACCTCGTGTGTTGTACCTTGTGTGTTGTACCTCGTGCGTTGTACCTCGTGCGCACTCTTGTACCTCGTGTGTTGTACCTCGTGTGTTGTACCTCGTGTGTTGTACCTCGTGCGTTGTACCTCGTGTGTTGTACCTCGTATGTTGTACCTCGTGTGTTGTACCTCGTGTGTTGTACCTCGTGTGTTGTACCTCGTGTGTTGTACCTTGTGTGTATGTACCTCGTGTGTTTGTACCTCGTGCGCACTCTTGTACCCTGTGTGTTGTACCTCGTGGGTTGTACCTTGTGTGTTGTACCTTGTGTGTTGTACCTCGTGTGTTGTACCTCGTGTGTTGTACCTCGTGTGTTGTACCTTGTGTGTTGTACCTTGTGTGTTGTACCTCGTGTGTTGTACCTCGTGTGTTGTACCTTGTGTGTTGTACCTCATGTGTTGTACCTTGTGTGTTGTACCTCGTGTGTTGTACCTCGTGTTGTACCTCGTGTGTTGTACCTCGTATGTTGTACCTTGTGTGTTGTACCTCGTGTGTTGTACCTCGTGTGTTGTACCTCGAGCGCACTCTTGTACCTCGTGTGTTGTACCTCGTACCTCGTGCGCACTCTTCTACCTCGTGTGTTGTACCTTGTACCTCGTACCTTGTACCTCGTGAGCATTCTTGTACCTCGTGTGTTGTACCTTGTACCTCGTACCTTGTACCTCGTGAGCACTCTTGTACCTCGTGTGTTGTACCTCGTGCCTCGTGTGTTGTACCTCGTACCTCGTGCGCACTCTTGTACCTCGTGTGTTGTACCTCGAGCGCACTCTTGTACCTCGTGTGTTGTACCTCGTACCTCGTGCGCACTCTTGTACCTCGTGTGTTGTACCTTGTACCTCGTACCTTGTACCTCGTGTGTTGTACCTCGTGTGTTGTATCTTGTACCTCGTGCGCACTCTTGTACCTCGTGTGTTGTACCTTGTACCTCGTGCGCACTCTTCTACCTCGTGTATTGTACCTCGTGCGCACTCTTGTACCTCGTGTGTTGTACCTCGTGTGTTGTACCTTGTACCTCGTGTGTTGCACCTCGTGCGCACTCTTGTACCTCGTGTGTTGTACCTCGTACCTTAAGATAAGATAAGATAAGATTTCGTTCGGATTTTTAACCCCGGAGGGTTAGCCACCCAGGATAACCCAAGAAAGTCAGTGCGTCATCGAGGACTGTCTAACTTATTTCCATTGGGGTCCTTAATCTTGTCCCCAGGATGCGACCCACACCAGTCGACTAACACCCAGGTACCTATTTGCTGCTAGGTGAACAGGACAACAGGTGTAAGGAAACGTGTCGAAATGTTTCCACCCGCCGGGAATCGAACCCGGGCTCTCCGTGTGTGAAGCGGGAGCTGTAGCCACCAGGCCACCGGGCCTTGTACCTCGTGCGCACTCTTGTACCTCGTGTGTTGTACCTCGTACCTCGTTTGTTGTACCTCGTGCGCACTCTTGTACCTCGTGTGTTGTACCTCGTACCTCGTGTGTTGTACCTCGTGCGCACTCTTGTAACTCGTGTGTTGTACCTCGTGCGCACTCTTGTAACTCGTGTGTTGTACCTCGTACCTCGTGTGTTGTACCTCGTGCGCACTCTTGTAACTCGTGTGTTGTACCTCGTGCGCACTCTTGTAACTCGTGTGTTGTACCTCGTACCTCGTGTGTTGTACCTCGTACCTCGAGTGTTGTACCTCGTGTGTTGTACCTCGTGCGCACTCTTGTACCTCGTGTGTTGTACCTCGTGCGCACCCTTGTACATCGTGTATTGTACCTCGTGTGTTGTACCTCGTGCGCACTCTTGTACCTCGTGTGTTGTACCTCGTACCTCGTGTGTTGTACCTCGTACATCGTGTGTTGTACCTCGTACCTCGTGTGTTGTACCTCGTGCCTTGTACCTCGTGCGCACTCTTGTACCTCGTGTGTTGTACCTCGTACCTCGTGCCTTGTACCTCGTGCCTTGTATCTCGTGTGTTGTACCTCGTGCCTTATACCTCGTGCCTTGTATCTCATGCCTTGTATGGTGTGACATTTATTGTGGCAACGTTTCGCTCTCCAGGAGCTGTAATGGCTTGATAAAGCTCCTGGAGAGCGAAACGTTGCCACAATAAATGTCACATTAGTTGCACTTGTGTCCTTTTACTTTACAATCTAGGTAAAGTAGAGCTTGGTCATACAGAATGTGAAAAGGACTTGGGAGTCGTGGTAAGCAGAAATCTAAAGCCAAGACAGCAGTGCCTTGGTGTGCGCAACGGGGCCAACAGATTACTTGGATTTGTCTCAAGAAGTGTAAGTGGCAGGGGTCCAAAAGTTATTTTGCAGCTCTATACATCATTAGTGGGGCCTCATTTAGATTGTGCTGCTCAGTTTTGGTCCCCTTCCTACAGGATGGACATAGACTCATTAGAGAACATACAGAGAAGAATGACCAAAATGATTTACTGTGTAAGGAACCTCCCGTATGAAGATAGACTTAAAGCCTTAAATCTCCACTCTCTGGAGAGGCGTAGAATGAGGGGAGATATCATCGAAGTGTATAAGTGGATGACGGGCATAAACAAGGGAGACATTGGAAATATAAACACATATGCAGTATAATGTGATCCTTTATTGACTACGTTTCGCCCACACAGTGGGCTTTTTCAAGTCACAAACAGCACTACCTGGGGTGGAAGGAACGCGAGTATTTATAGTCAGGTTCAGAGTGCTGAGGTCAGGTGGAGAATGCTGCATCTGATGATGTACCGAGTGGGGTTATAGAGTCTAAAATCTTGGGTAGCTTGGAAAGGAGACCTGGAGTTTACCTGGAGAGAGTTCCGGGGGTCAACGCCCCCGCGGCCCGGTCTGTGACCAGGCCTCCTGGTGGATCAGAGCCTGATCAACCAGGCTGAGATTGGACAAGTTTGTGAGCAGACCTTCTACAGTGTTCTTATGTGGGATAGCGATGAAGAAGCTTCTTGGCAAGTGGTTCAGCTATGTTATAGAAGCCACTATTCTGGTTGAAGTTGTCGGATATAGAAATAAGTGATGATTCCAGGATTCTTCGGTATTGAGTGTTGTCTTCTGTGGCGATAAGTCTTGAGTTTCTGTAGTTTAT